ACGCTTAATATATAAAGATTCATAGAAAAGTGAACAAAAATAATATACATAATCATAGAAAAATATATATCCGGAATATCTTGCCGTTTCGAAGGAAGATCTTCTTCTGAACAAAGATGTGGGACAAAAACTGTCTCTCAATAGTGGAACCTGCCATGAGCTAAGATGATTGTAATCATTACAGTCATCTTAGCCCATGGCAGGTTCTACTATACATTACAGCTGGTATGATTATTGAAAATCTTCTTTGGTAATTGTGAGACGTCACCAGAGGATATGAACTACTGAGGGACAGTTTTTGTCCCACATCTTTGTTCAGAAGAAGATCTTCCTTCGAAACGGCAGGACATTCCGGAGATCACCGTCAATATATTTCTCTATGATTATGTATATTATTTTTGTTCACTTTTTTGTGATTCTTTAAAGACACATATTAAGCGTTGATTTTTCACCGTTTTTCTTGTTCTCCGTATCAGCTGTTGGGCAGGACACGTCACCTTGGCACAGGGCCCCCCGGTGTGATGCCCGCAAGGCGTCCGATTGACTATTGGAGGTTTGGTCGGCTGTGCAGGTTTTTTCAAATGTTGCTTTGGCAGCCGCCGCCGCCACAGCAGAAGGATCTGCACTGTGTTAATGAAGGGGAGCCGCAGCAATCATTTTGTGTCTGGCTCAGAAAGTCGGGGACCCCTGCCTTTGCAGTTATTGCTGTCTCCCCCTCCCTTCTCAGTCTGGGGTTATCATTACATGACGGAAGATTTCCACAATAAACCGTCAGAGTTACTCCTTCCTTCACCTATACTGTCCAGCTTCACTTTCAGCCCGGATTGTGATATATGTACTATTTTTTAATTTGGCAATTCAGTCCAGCACATTTAAAATGGGCTTGAAGTTTTCACTTGTCGGCGAGGCACTGGTTTTGGGGGTGCGCTTACTTGCCTGGAAAAAGTGCTTCGGGTCTTTTTGCTAAAAGCTGCTTCTTCTACCTCCTTTGCTTTCTTCTCTTGTGCTACCCGGTGTAAAGTTTTGGGCCCACAAACAGCAGGCAGAGCCGGTAAAGCCCTTCCGCCTCTATTCTTGTGCATGGAAGCTTTTATAACTGTGCTGAATTTGTACGTTTTTGATGCCAGCTGTTTCCTTTTTTAAAACTTATCTCCGCCCCCCCCCCTTTCGAATCAAGTCATTTTTGTTGAACAGTGTTGTCTCCATTTTTCTGTAGTGTCTCCTTTGGCTTACTCGAAACAGGCTGCACTGTCATTGTCTATATTCCAGTCCCACACAACTTTGTATAACGGTTAATGTCAAGGACTCCATCAGCCATGGGGTTGTGCGAGCCTCCGGAATGAGGGATACCCGGAATTACATTAGAAAAGTGTTTAAAATTGGGGCCAGTAAGAAATGTTTCATAGAAGGCTTTGTCAGCGGGGGAAGAATCTGCAGCAACGGATCGCAGATTGGTGAAATGCGAGTTCCCTGGTTTTTCGCCCAATGTTCGGTATCTTTCAGAAACGAAAGCTCCATAATCGGAAAGTTGCATAACTTACTCTGTTGATTCTTTAAAGACATATATTAAGCGTTGCTTTTCCACAGTTTTTCTTGTTCTCCGTATCAACTGCTGGGCAGGACAAGTCACCTTGGCACAGGGGGCCCCCAGTGTGACGCCCACAAGGCTTCTGATTGACTATTGGAGGTTTCGTCGGCTGTGCAGGTTTTTTCAAATGTTGCTTTGGCAGCCGCCGCCGCCACAGCAGAAGGGTCTGCACTGTGTTAATGAAGGGGGAGCAGCAGCAATCGTTTTGTGTCTGGCTCTGCCTCCTGCGGCAGCCGTTTTATCGCTACACCCACTGTGTCAGAATTCCACATGTGCCCGCCGGCTCAGAAAGGTCAGGGGCGTAGCACCTTTGAGACCAACCGGATTTGGGGGGGGTATAAGTTTTCAAGACATTCCAATCCTGGGATGGAATTCCTTGACCTTGGATGGCTCAGGCTAGCGCAGTCTCATCAGATCTGGAAGCTAAGCAGGATCAGCCTTGGTTAGTGTTTGGATGGGAGACCATCAAGGGCACCTCAGGTCCCTGTGCCAATGAAGGCAGTGGGCAAAACCACTTCTGTCCCTCCCTGGCCAAGGGATCACCATAAGTTAGTTGCGACTTGACAGCAGTTGACACATACACGCTTTCTAGAGTAAAAGCTCCCTTCATTTGTGTCTGCCAAAGGGAGCTTTGATTCTGGAAAGCTTATACCTCGAAACTCTTGTTGGCATCTAAGCTGCTATTGGACTCTAATCCTGCTCTTCTGATAAATAAATAAATAAATTGGTCACTTTTTCCCACTCATGCGGGCTCAGAGCGATTTGCAGTTACTCAAGGAGACAATGGACTAACAATATTCGTGGGGGATAGGGAAGACAACATATAATATTTAATCACACACACATTGTAGCTGGTTGGAGGATCCATCCGCAGGCTGTATCAGTCATGTCCCGACGGCATATATTATGTCGGCTGGCTGATGACGTCAGGGCTCTTGATGTCGCACTGCCACCGCCTGGCCGATTTGCTCTACTTCAGGGAATGCGCCGATTTGCTCCACTGCAGGAAATGCCGAAACAGATTTTTCCCACTTTTGATCTTCCCACGCCGCAGATGTCAGTCCTGGCAGCTAACACCTCCCAAGGGGAGTGGTGTGCTCACCCCCTTACGGGTGGTCCCCAGTTTATCTACTTGCCGAAGCTTTCGAATCGCTGGATAGACTATGAGCTAGGGACAAGGTTTGGTTGCCCACACCAGCACGGGGCTAGAACTGACAAAGCTTGGCAGTTCAGATGTTATAGTTATGCAGGGGATTTACCCACTGCGCCACCGCTCCCCTTTGCAGATGCAGACCAACACGGCTACCCCCTAACGCTGGGTTATTCTATTTGGGGTGACATATTCCATAAGTTATGCAGATAAGGTAAAGGTTTCCCTTGCTGGAAAGCCGGTCGAATCCGACTCTAGGGGTGCGCTGCTCATCTTCGTTTCCAAGCTGAAGAGCCAGCGCTGTCCGAAGACATTTCCTTGGTCATGTGGCTGGCGTGACTAGACATCAAGGCGCACAGAACGCTGTTCCCTTCCCACCGAAGCAGTACCTATTTATCTACTTGCAGTTTCTTGCTTTTGAACTGCTAGGTTGGCAGGAGCTGGGATGGGAGCTCACTCCGTCATGCGGCACACCCGGGTCTCGAAATGCTGAACTACCGATCTTCCGGTCTGCAGCTCAGCATCTTAACCACTGAGCCACCGCAGCCCCCAGTTATGCAGATGCTTGCCCTAATAAAGCCGGGATTTTGTTTTGCTGGTAACTTGCACAGACTACTTCTTCTGCAGACTCCCAGTTTGATCCTTGTGCTGTTATTCGAGTCCCAGGGACTGCATTTTTTGGAGATCGGTCGGATACAGCCAATGAGGGGAGGCAGGACTTCAATGCATCCTGCTGACAGAAGTCCCTTTCTATTAGCAGAATGTTTCTACTTCTAAATAGTGGTTGAAGTGACCTCTGTACCAGACTGTGCTCCCCAAAGCAGATATAAATTATCTTGTACTAGCTTGGTTCTTATTGTGCTACAAGTCAAGAGCCAGTGCAGCACGAAAAGATGCCTGCAGAACAGAACGGTTCCAGCAAGACATCGTTCAAAAGCGGTGCTCTCCATTCATACCTGCAAATAGTCCCTGTAACCTTTAACTTGGCACAGATTTGTGTCCTCCGAGATTATTACCCTAGTTGAGGCAATTCTTACTGGCCAGGAGAATCGGGGTGGGTGGCTGGGGGACTGCAAAAGCCACAAGCGAGAGACGGGAGTCTTAAATCACAAGACCCATTTCTAGCGATTGAGCTTCTGTCGAATTCCTAGTGTGATGTTTCATTTTTAGTTTTTTTGCAACGCCGCAGCCCTTGACTCACGAGAGACGGGAGTCTTAAATCACAAGACCATTTCTAGCGATTGAGCTTCTGTCAAATTCCTAGTGTGATGCTTCATTTTTATTTTTATTCTTTTGCCACGCCGCAGCCCTTGACTCTAGTAGAGAAGCCCTTCTGTGTCTCTTCCCGGATAGCGTTTCCATCACTCTCTCAGTGTGCTTGCGCGTCTCGGTAAACAGCATGAACCGTAAGCTGTCCAGTTGTCCTTCGATGCGGGAGGGACCCCAGACACAGGCATCCTCCGGACCCCGACGTGGCTTGCTGTACGCTATAGAAGCGTGTGCTGTGAAGTGAGAGCAGAGCCTCCCTCCCTCCGACAAAACCCCAAAACACGTTGGCTCTGTGTGTGTGTGTGACAGCCGTCACTGGATCACTTCAGCATGTCAGTCTCCTGCCACCACTCTCGTAAGGAAAGCTTCCGCTCGTACGGTTTGGGTCCTATGATGCCCTCCCTCCGACAAAACCCCAAAACACGTCGGCTGTGTGTGTGTGTGACGGCCGTCACTGGATCTCTTCAGCATGTCAGTCTCCTGCACCACCCTCGTAAGGAAAGCTTCTGCTCGTACGGTTTGGGTCCTATGATGTGCTTTTGCACTCGGCGCCAGCAGGGGCTCCTTCCTTGAGTACGATTCCTTGGGAACGGCCCCAGCCCTATGGGTGGAAGTCCTTCTGCGGCCGTGTAGCGATGCTGCTAAAAGTCATCTGATTTAGCAAAGATCCTTCTTTCCAGCTTTCCCCCAGTTTTCGGGGACTCGCGGGAAGGCCCAGCTGAAGGTTACTGAGCAGCCCCCGGTGCCTTGCATCTCGGTGTCTTCTTTTATTTTTCCCTTTTGTCACCTCGCATCTTCTCGTGCTTGAAGCTCACTCAGTTGCTTGTCCGAGGCGAAGCTTTTCCGGGGCTTTTCCTGTCCTGCTGTGCCTCGTCTCTCCCCGCCCCCCCGAAAGTCTCCTGGCTACTTTTCTGTGGCAATACATGTTAGATGTATCCTACCAAGGGGGGGAAAAGTATAACTGACTTTTTGTTTTGTTTTGCTTTTAACTAGGCTTCAGAGTTAGGTCAGACTTTAAATGAAAATGTTCTCAAACCTGCACAGGAAAAGGTAACTTTGGAAACGTGTAAATGATTACGGGCTTTTTTGAATACACTTATCCCCGCAAGCATCTCCAGTGTGGATTCTAGGCACAAGCGGTGTCAGTATAGTTCCTTCCCAGTACGATGTACAAAAACGACTTCCGGCTGGGATATGCTTAAGCTGTGGTCCGGCTTTGTACGGCACTAGAACAGCCGGATTCACGAGTCTGTGACTCGGTGGAAGAGACTCTGCTTTGCATGCAGAAGGTCCCCGGTTCAATCCCTGACGTCTCCAGTCAAAAGGGCCAGGTCATAGGTGAAGTGAAAGACCTCTGCCTGAGACCTTGGAGAGCTGCTGCCAGTCTGAGTAGAAATCCCGATTTGGTGGACTGGTGATCTGATTCAGTATAAGGCAGCTTCCTGTACATGTCTGGCTGCAGATTTCTGGCAGTACATTTGATTAGCCGGTTCAAATCCACGCGAAAGTCTTCTGGCTACTTTCTGTGGCAATACATGTTAGATGTATCCTTCCCCATTTGGGTTGGAAAAGATCAGTTTGGGTTGGAAAAGATCCACATGTGCAAGAGTGGAGGCAGTCCCCCCCCCCGGTGCCCCCCCCAGGAGCAACATTTCAGGGGGCCGGCATTTCCGACTGCTGTGAGCGGTGGGAAGATGATTCCGTGCATGGGTTTTTTGATGGGATCCAACCCCTTGTCTCAGACCCTTTTGCCAGCCAATACCTGTTCTGCCCGAAGTGCAAACCCATCCCATTTCTAAACTATACCCAAAGTGCTGGCCAGTAGCTGGCTAGTTGAATGGAAGTAATTAAAAGGGAGGTTAAAAATATATGAAGCCCAAAGGCATTATCAGAAAGTTCCCTTCAGTTTAGTGTGACAGAGAGGGTGTCTGCAACACTGAACACTGGCATACATCGCAAGGGAGTTTTGTTCACCAAGGCAGGGGCAGCCGCCGACAGGGCCCTGCCTTCACATCTCACTGTTCTTGGGCTGTCTGAGGGCTGGTAGTCGAGTGTGCGTGCCCAGTGCCCAGTTGTAAGGCAATCAACCTGAAACAAACTGTATTTCTGTATCTAAAAGGAGCCGTTACTTTAATGTGGGTGTCCACTGTGTGAGTAAAGATGAGGGCTCATTTGGGTGAGCCAGTTTGGGTGAGCCAGATGAGAGCCAGTTTGGTGTCGTGGTTAAGACTCTAATCTGGGAGAACCGGGTTTGATTCCCCACTCCTCCACTTGCACCTGGCTGGATGACCTCGGGTCAGTCACAAGCTCTGGCACAGCTGTCCTTGAAAAAGAGCACTTTGTGTCAGAGCTCTCTCAGCCCCACCCACCTCACAGGGTCTCTGTTGTGGGGAGGGGAAGGGAAAGGAGTTTGTAAGCCGCTCTGAGACTCCAAGTGAAGGGCGGGGTACATATCCAGTCTCTTATTATTATTATTATTTCTGGACAAGGCCTTCCACATGATTCCTTGAGGTGACAATGTGAGGAGGGTGCTGTTGGGCCACAGAGGCTCAGCTCGCTCCTTGCCATCCTCTGCATGGCATCACCTCCTTGACCCATGTTGCTGCCAGCTGGGTTCAAGCCAAGCCCCTCCATCATTGCTAGGCACAACTAGCAGCAGCATGGGCTCAGGGGGTAATCCCTGTCCCTTACTTTTGGCCCCAGAAACACTTTGAACTGGCCCCGGTAAATATCGTATTCCAACAGCTGTCATTACTGTATTCATCTTCACCACAGCCTGCCTGGTAGGTATTTCCGATTTACAGATTAAAAAAAAAGCTTGGCTTGGAAGCCATTGTAACATCAGTAAGCGACATAATGAGTCCGTAGCTGAGGCTGATAAGTCTTAAAATGTCTCTCTGGAATCATAAGAGATCAGCCTTTTTACTCCAGGTTGAGCCTGAATCACTACTCTGCTACTTAGACAAGTGGACGAAATCTCACTCTTTTACCAGGCTTTATATTAAAACAACAGAATGTACAATAAGATGGTTAGCGTAGGTGAAGGAGCGTGAGAGCTGATTTGGCAGCTGTTACAAGAACACGGCACAGCCCCCCCTGTAAGGCAGAGATGTCCCGCCAGGCGTTCGGTGGAGGACGGAGGAGGAAGAAGGAGGAGATTGGATTTATACCCGACCCTTCACTACCCAAAGGTGTCTCAGAGCAGCTTACAAACTCCTTTCCCTTCCCCTCCCCACAACAGACACCCTGTGAGGTGGGTGGGGCTGAGAGAACTCTTGACACAAACTGCTCTTTCAAGGACAGCTGTGCCAGAGCTTGTGACTGACCCAAGGTCACATCAGCAGGTGCAAGTGGAGGAGTGGGGAATCAAACCCGGTTCTCCCAGATGAGAGTCCACACACTTAACCACTACACCAAACTGCGCCCGCTTCCATTATGGCTGGCACCCAACCTGGATCCCTATTCCTTGTGAAGTCTACCTCCTCCCCATGCTTACGAAGCACTCACAGACCAGAGACGGGAGGGAAACCGCAGAATTTTTTTTTTGCCACTTTTAATTATTGTACAACATGTTGAATATGGATTTATGTTCTTACGGTTTTAAAATCTGTACATCGCCTAGAGCCCCACAATCGTGGGGATTAGGCAGTTAATAAATGTAGTGCAGTAAAATAAATAAATAAAATGCATCAGAACCCGCTGGGCGAGTGGACACAAAAGAATATTTTGACATAAGAGTGCTTTGAAGCCAGCAGTCCCCTGTTCTTCTTAACTCAAACAGAACGAATAATTTATATTAGTAAATAAGCAGTCCCGCATCTTGTGTTTCTCCAAGTAAATGGGCTGTTTCAGCCCCCATAATTGGTGGCAATATGTCCTTTAGGGACAGCACACCGCTAAATTATGTGTTTTGTGAGTATTAGTGTTGCTTGTGGACTTCTGGATTAGATTTGCTGTAAAATACTCTGCCTTCTGTAGAGAAGGGGATGAACACAGTTTGTGATTCTAAGTAGGCCTTCGTTTAAAGCCGCCTTTCCCTTTTGAAAGCTGTCTCATTTGTTGAATCGCTCTTCATATATAGCAACGGAAAGCGTTGTGTCTCATTTCTCAGGCAAGTCAGCTTCGATTCAAAGGCCTGCTACTCCCTAGGGAGGATTTGTTAAATTTCAGCCGTCTCTGGAATGAGGTCCATCTTTTAACAACCGCAGTATTCTATCCTCCAAGGAGTCACTAGGTTTTAGGCTCACTTGTGGCATAGCTAGTTTCTCTCGCAGGCTGTCCTGTCGTAAGCTCTCGGCGTAATATTGTGACATTCCTAACGATGGACATCTTGCTTTGCGTAGGTGAAGGATGGGAAAATCATGGATGACGTGACCCAGGGAGTCTCACATTTGGCTTCCAAGGTATGGTGGCCTCCCTGTCTGGCTTGGGAGGCCGTTTATTAAGCCAGTATCCATATTCCTTTGTCACACGGGAGCCGCTTCCCATGCAGCATCGTCACATCGGCAGACAGCAGCCGCTTCCGTTTCTCCGGAAGCCCACCTCATTTGTCACTTTGAAGTGAATTCGACTGCATCTGTCCCGCATGGCCAATACGTTGGACAATGCCCTCCTGTGGTACTTGTGCCACATGGTTGCAGACTAGGGTCATGTGTGAATTGGGCCTTTGGCTAAAGCTTGTGGCCGTCTGTAACTGATCAAGGGATGCCTAAAATTGGGTATTGCGTCCCATTGATGTTACAGTAGAATAGTCTCACGTCGTATCTCAAGTGACCTGCCTAAAGAAGCGGGTGGAAGAGAAGCCATCTCGAATAGCATTGGACTAAAGGCTGCTGTGAAGCATTATGGGACAGCCAAATCCGTGAGCCGGATTATTTGTTTTAAAGGCTCGCAAAGGAAAATGGAAATGGCTTAAGTGTAATATATCAGTATCTCTTAGACTTTTTAATGTTTCCCTTCTTGCTCTCTCCTCCCCTGTTCTTGCTGCCGTTGCTCGGTCAAACCGGTAAGTGCTTTTTGCCACCTCTGAAATTTCAAACATTCCTCTCTGTCGGGTGCCTTTCATTTTTAAATTACGGGGATGGAAATGTTTTAAGAAAAAGGGGTTTTCGATAAAGGGTCGTGGAGAACTTTGTGACGGTACTTGTGTCATTTTCGTAGCATGGTTGTCCTCCTGTTCCCATGTGCCTGCTGAATTCAACCTCTGCATGTTGTGTGGCACCTGCCATCTTTTTAATGCTCCTTCCCGAGACAGCACGAAGGCTAAATTGTCCAGCAGAGACCTTTTAAACCTTTGCGCGACGTCTGGCACACTTCCGGTCGTGCATCTGCTGGTCTGTAGAGCTGTACTCTTGATTCTTCCTGTGCTTTCTGGTGTGGACGTAAAAAGCACGTTTGGGGCTTTCCCTAGTCCAGGGGGTCCCCAGCGTGGTTCCCACGGGCACCGCGGAGCCCGCCGACACCTTTCTTGGCGCCTAACAAGTGTTTTTGGAAAGTGGGCGGAGTCAGGTGGCTCTCTTGCCCTTTAGGACTCCAGATTGGCCGTGCCGATTAAGATCGCATCGTTTCCAGCAGCAGCTGCCACCACCAATGTTCCCTCTAAGCTGAGGAGTCTTGTGAGCAAAAATCCTACTTGGTGAGCTACTGGCGTTAAAGTTGTGAGCAAGCCATTTGGCTGCTGCATAAATTAGTTTGCTCTGGAGCCCTCCTTCCTGAGCTGAGACAAAATGTGAGTCGGAGGCTAAAAAGCTGTGAGCTAGCTCACACTAACTCAGCTTAGAGGGAACACTGGCCACCACAGCATTGATTTTATTCTCTCTCGATCCCCTTTTTCGGCGTATTTGTAAGTTACCCCCTCCTCCTCCTCCTCCCCCCCCTGCATTTGGGCTTTCTCTCAGCGGTTGGCTCCTCCTCCTCCAGCAGCCATTTTGTGGCTGGCCCACCACCTCGTGTCGGAATTCCGAAGATGCCCACAGGTTCAGAAAAGTTGGGGACCCCCGCTCTGACCATTGGCCAGGGTGCAGACAATCCCATGTCCGTGCTAACTATGTTTCTGCCTGGGTACAGAGGAATTCCCAGTTTCTCCTTTCAACCACACTTGCATCGCATAGTATGCCACTTCAGAGGGCCCTCGAACCTTCAGGAGCAGCTTTGGGCTGTGTGTGCATGCGCGCAAGAAATCGCACCACGAAAACACTGTTAACAACACGGAGCACGGCGCGTGTCCTTTTAGAGTCTAGCCTAACACGCGATACCTCGGGTCAGTCGTGACTACCAAAGCAACAGTGATTTTGGCACCATGGCTGGAAAAGAGAATGCATATAATCAGGGCATTTTTGGAGAAAAAGCCCAGCAGGAACTCATTAGCATAATTGGCCACACCCAACAGCAGAAACTCATTAGCACATTATACCACACCCCTTACAGCATAGCTCATTAGCATATTAGGCCACCCCCATGCCTTCCCTTGGCTTGTTCGGGTGCCCTGCGGCTGCGGGGAGCCCGGGCAAGCCGGCCCTTTGACAGGCCGGGGAAGGGCCGGGGAGGCATTTAAATGCCTCCCCGATTCTTTTAGGGGGTCCCCTGGCCCGCCCGCCTCGGAGTCGCTGGGGGGGGTCGCTCTCCAGGCGTTCCCTCTGTAGCCACGCACGCAGAGGTTTTGGCTGTAGTGGGCGTGGCCAACTCTGAAGCCAGCCGGAGCTCCATTCCTGTGCGTTCCTGCCCCAAAATAGCCCTGCGATATAATCAATCCTCCCTCTAAACTGTGGAGTCTTGCGAGCAAAAATTCTACTTTGCGCGCTACTGTCATTAAAGTTGTGAGCGGGTGATTTGGCTGCTGCATCAATTAGCTTGCTCTGGAGCCGTCCCTTCCTGCGCGAAGACAAAAATGTGTGAGCAGGGGGCTAAAAAGTGGTAAGCTAGCTCACACTAACTCAGCTTAGAGGGAACACTGCGTATAATGTGCGCGAAACTGCGTGGTGAGCCAACCCAGAGGGCAGCCGGATCCCTTTTGCCTTCAAGTAATTCACTGAGCAGTGCTTCCTCCCTCAGACTGGTCTGTTACGTAGGTGTGCATGTTCTGTTTATCTTGTCTTTTTCCCACGATGGTCATCTGTCACACTGATTTCTTGTGGTTCCCCTTCCAATGCCTCCACAGGTCCAGGGAGTAAGTACTAAAGGATGGCGAGACGTGACCACTTTTTTTTCTGGGAAATCCGACGAGGCTTCTGAAAGGTACTTAAGGTTTTTGATAGGTGTTGCACAATGGGTGTGTGTTTGCAGGGCATGCGTGTGATGCACGCAGGGCTCTTTTTGTAGCAGGAACTCCTTTGCATATCAGGCAACACACCCCTAATGTAGCCAGTCCTCCAAGAGCTTACATTAGCCCCTGTGAGAAGAGCTCTGTAAGCTCTTGGAGGATTGGCTATATTAGGGGTGTGTCACCTAATATGCAAAGCAGTTCTTGCTACAAAAAAGAGCCCTGGCCATGTATACTATACCATTCTTGTTTGGCCATGTATATGGTCAGAGCATAGCAAGGGCCCTTTTTTAAGTTGGTGGCCAGTTCAGTGGAATTGTTGATTCAAGTCACTGAAAGGGTAGAAGAAGAAGAGGAGATTGGATTTATACCCCATGCCCTTCACTACCCAAAGGAGTCTCAGAGCGGCTGACAAACTCCTTTCCCTTCCCATCCCCACAACAGACACCCTGTCAGGTAGGTGGGGCTGAGAGAGCTCTGACAGAAACTGCTCTTTTTCAAGAACAGCTCTTGTCAGAACTGTGGCTTGCCCAAGGTCATCCAGCCAGGTGCGAGTGGAGGAGTGGGGAATCAAACCCGGTTCTCCCAGATTAGAGTCCGCACACTTCACCACTACACCAAACTGGCTCTCATGTGCTCTCAGAAAGATACCCTCACAAAAGAGATTTATGTTCTCCCTTTCCAAAAGAGGCCAGATTGCAGCATTGGAAAAACCAAGCATAAATAAAATCAGCATAAGCTAGAACCTCGTATTAGGATTTCATCCCCTTCACCTCATACTGTTCTCACCCTAGCTGTTAAAGTTGAGAGGAAACCCCAGGTATAGTCTCTACCCTACTCCCGCTGCCAATGTTTCCAATGTACCCACTTCCTCATCTCAGTGAGGATTTTCCTCATCTCAGTGAGCTTTATTACTCTACCCCCTTTCATTACTAAAGGGTCACGGCTACCCCTTCACCCAATAGTCCCTGCATATATATTGCCATCAAGCTGCATGCCTCTGTGTAGTGAGAGCCAGCGCGGGGTAGTGGTTAAGAGCGGCGGACTCTAACCCGGAGAACCGTGCTTGATTCACCACTCCCCATGAAACCTGCTGGGTGACCTTGGGCCAGGCACCGTTCTCTCAGACCTCTCTCAGCCCCACCTACCTCGCAAAGGCGCCTGTTGCGGGGAGAGGAAGAGAAGGCAGTTGTAAGCCACTTTGAGACTCCTTTAAGGTAGAGAAAAGCAGGGTGTAGAAAACTGACTCTTCTTCTTCTAGTAGCCCCGGTCTTACTTGGTGGCCCTCCATCCAAGGACTAACCAGGGCCAATGCTACTTAATGTCCGAGATCTGACGATATCAGACTGGCTTGGACTATCTAGGTCATGGCCAATGTGTCAACATTCTGTATTGTGTTAAGTCATGCTGTAGATCTAAGGCATCTAAGTGACAGGAGCTGACAGCTCTAAGTGACTGGAGAGCTGGCCCTGACCGGTTCTGGCCGGCTATTGCCAGAGCTAATTAACACTGTGTAAGAGTGACTCAGCATTGGCTCTGATTGGCCAATGCAAATATAAGTACAGTGAGGTACTGTGCAGTTCATTCCTTCTTGGAATGTGGTTGTCTGCGGAGCATTACGTCACTCAGTGTAAAGTATTGGTGGAGGCTTTGTATAATAAACTGTAAATTACTTGTACATAAGCCTGAAAGACTCCAGTCTTTATTGGATCGCCTTGCACCCGTGCCCAGTCTGCAGTGGGCTAACACCGCGCAACATTGACACAATGTTCCCTCTAAGCTTTGGAGTCTTGTGAGCAAAAATTCTGCTTTGTGAGCCACTGGCATTAAAGCTGTGAGCGAGCGATTTGGCTGCTGCATAAATTAGTTTGCTCTGGAGCCATCCTTCCTGAGCGGAGACAAAAATGTGTGAGCCGGAGGCTACAAAACTGTGCGCTGGCACACTAACTCAGCTTAGAGGGAACACTGGTCATGGCTCCCCCCTAATACTCCTGTATAAACTGTCCACCCCAGTGCACAGTCTAAAAGACAGCAGAGAAGATATGCTGTGGTGCAGTGCCATCCAGAGCCGGTTTGGTGTAGTGGTTAGGAGCACAAACTCTAATCTGGGAGAACCGGGTTTGATTCCCCCACTCCTCCACATGCAGCCAGCTGGGTGACCTTGGGTCAGTCACAGTCCTCTTGGAGTTGTTCTGGAAACAGCAGTCCTTGAAAGATATCTCTCAGCCCCAGATTTATTTATTTATTTATTTTTCACTTATACCCCGCCCTCCCC